TTTACATACAAAGGTTGTATTCAACAAGCATTCAAACCAAGAAAGGTTCAATTTATTTTGGTTTACTGATTACTAAATAAAATCCACAAGATTTTGTTAATACTTATGTCCTCAATAAATGTAAATCTTCTAAGAGTTAATGTAGTTTAGTTAAATAGTAAGAAATAGCTTCTGTAATATAAATTTTATGAAACATAAAAGTGTTACATCAAATAAGCACACAAATATTAGTGGAAAGCAATTCTTAAGGGTATATGAGTATGTTTCAGGGGAAAACTACTTTTAGAAGGAAGCCCCTCTGGGTGGAGTCTAGGCTGTCCTATTTCATTCTGAATTCTATGTCATTTCAGATAATGCTGCAACAAGGTCTGGGATACTTCTCCAGGCTATGAGGTCCATTTCATTTTCAAATGATACTCAAATGCCTATAGGAACGAGGCAGGAAACAAATATCTGAGTCAAACCAGGTGACAATAAGGAAGTTTTGTGGACTAGACAGTGTGTGTCTACTTAAAGTCATTCAAGTACCAACTTTTAAAAATCACAGGGCCCGCTAAACAAAGTAATGATTTGAAGAAGATAATCTGGACAATTAGACAAGAAATGTAGCCAAACAGTTCCTTCATAGGGGGACAGATTGAACTGTGGTGGCTGCTTTGGTAGGCATTGACCCTAAGGTGCCTACCACAGTCTACATCTGGACCAAAAAAAACTGGACTGGTTCCATACATTAAAGAGATTTTTTGTTATCTAGATGGGGATCATATCAGACTATCCAAGAAAGGACCCAGATTGCTAAAAGGGAGCGTCCAATGCTGCATCCTTAGCTAAAAAGTATTCCCCCAAACCTGCCACCTACTCCTCCACACCCACCTCTCCTTAATTACACAGATACAGACCCCTGTATGTGGACCTGAGCTGGATGAGAATCCAGGCATAATGGAATAAACCAAAAGACCTTTCTTGTGTTTCAATGTCAAGCAAGTCAAGTATAGATTGAAAGGAGACAGTTAACTATGGCAAATTTCCAGTTCCACTGTCACCTTATTGGGTTTATGTCTAAAACTGAATCTATGATTTTAGCATCATAAACTTGCTCCTCCGCTGAGTACTCTAAATCTTTTTATAACAAGAAGCTGATCACATTATTTGTTTAAAATTGTTCACATCTCCTCACTGCCTACAGCAAATCAAATTAGCTTAGCAAGATAAACAAAGACAGCTCACAAACACTGAATGCTGGTATATATCAGGAATTTTATATTTTATTCATTGAATTTCCCTTTTTTCTCCTGGGGATTTAAGATTGCGGCATTTACTATGCATGAATGCATTTCAGCCTCACAACAGCCTTGTAAGGTAAGGAATTGAAGTTTAGGAAAGTCACATAATGAGTGAGATGTGACATCAGGACTCCAACCCCCAGACCTATCTCCAGCTTGCCATTCCAGCCTCATCTGCTGCCCTTCCTCACAGCGCACACTCCTCCCAACATACTTGGTTCTTTCATGTCTCCAAGCCCTCACATGACCTATCCTCACGCCAGTTATGGCTTGAACTCTTCGCAGGAAACCTGCTGATTCTTTATGGCACAGTCTTACTGTGAATACATCTCTAACGTACCCCACCAGCAGACATATATTTGCCATTCTTTCGTGTGTGTTGTCTAGCATTTGTACCAATATATCTCAGATACTGGTGCTTATCTCTCTACTTCTCTATCCCATTAAACTAGAAGCACCTCTGGGCAAGAACGTCTCCTGATTCGTTTTTGAGTATTTACCACAAAAGCACTGTATCGGACACATAAGTAGGCATTCATAAATGAATGAGTCAACCTATCAAATGGGACGTGGGGGAAGAGTTGAAAGAATTGGCTAAAAGTAAAGTACTCACTCTATAAAGGCTGGCTAAGAAACAACTGTGGAAAAAGTCAGAAATTTACAGATCTAATCCAGNGAGGGCAGTGTCACTGGCCCTCATATGTGGGATCCGAACCGGGGCCCTCTGGCATCCCAAGCCAGCTCTTAACCAACGTGCCACTCGGCCGGCCCGGAATGAGCTCTTAACTTCGGATTCTGGGCCTGCCATCATGTACCTCTGGGCACTGCAGAGCTGCCTGTTGAATGATTGTGAGTTTTCTCCTCTGCAGCAAGAATCCAGGGAGTAAGAGGACCATTAACCTAGGAGGGATATCAACATACAAGCAACTCTATTCTTCTGTCAAATCTCTACTGCTCCCTTTCCTATCCTTGCCAAGACTAACATTTCATAAACTTGTCCCTCATTCTGGGGAAAAAGGCAATAACTTTATCTGTTTCCACCATAACTTGATGGGAACAACTGTGACTTCTTTTGTACCATTTTAAAAAATAGTTTTCTTCCTAAAATGCTCTGACATTTTGTTTTGATCGGAACTTTATTTGGCACATGTATTTATCCAATTAGTTAAGCCTTAAAAATTCATCACGTTTTCTTGAAGTATAAACTTTTAGAAGCTAGGAGCTGTTTGATATGACTCCAATGGCACCACCAAGTTGACACTTTTTTTAAATAATAGCAGATATTTTTTTATTCTTACTTTCCTTTGTTTGGAAATAGAGGGCAAAACTGAATTACTTTCAGGTTTCAGCAAGAAAAGACAGTGAACCTTTAAAATTCTGATGAATAACTTAAATGCCTGCCTCCTGAAAAAATACAGGTCTTTCTTTCCTTGGTTCTTTTCTACTTTGTTCACTCTCCCTTGATGATTTGATCACTTCCAGGGACGTTCGTTACATTTACAATTAGTATAACTACTTATATATTTGGATTTATTTCTCACTTATTTTGTGCTTTCTATTTGTGCCTACTGGTAATTTGGTACTTCAGTTTTTCTTTTTCTCTTGCCTTCTTTTGAACTGATTTTTCTCCCCTCATTTCATTTTTTTTCCTTCTACTAGTTTGGAAGTTACAAACTTTATTTTTATTCTTTTAGTAGCTACCTTAGAAATGATAACATGTACATTTAATTTGTCAAACTCTGAAATTAATCAACCTCTATCCTCAGAGATACAAAGACATCTAAGAACACTTTAATTCCACTTATTTCCCTCCTGACTGATAGTCTAGAAAATACTTCTATTTTTTTATATGCTGAAGGCATTATTATTATTATTGCTGTTGTTTTTATACAGTCAATTTTTGTTGGGATTTATCCATGTATTTACATTTAGATCTGTTTGTGATCACTTTCCTTCTGCCTAAATGAAATTTTTTGGAATTTCTACTGATGACTAACTCTTAGTTTAACTTGCCTCTGCTCCATTCTCTTTCCTCCCTTTTAGGAACTTTGATTCAAGATAAGCTAGCTTTGCTCTGTTTTTTAATTCTCTTTCATATTTTCTTAATCTGACTCTCTAGGTGGACTTCTGAATAAGTATTTTCTAGTTCTAATTCTCTCCTCAGCTATGTCTAATCTGCAGTTAGACCTGTCCAACATTAATTTGAAAACCTGAGTCTTTTTCTTGAATCCTATTTTCACTCAAGTTACACCTCTCTGTTTGCCCAGGCTTGACGTTTCAGAGCCAGTATTGACTTGTTTCTCTTACCTTTCATATTTGGCTAGTTTCCATGTTCTTGCAATCTTTCTCACCCATCAGCTCTTCTCTATTGTTACTGTCACCATCCAAATTCAAGCCTCCTTCCTATTTGCCTGGACTATCTCACTAGCCTCCCCGTCTCTAACCCCTCTTCCCACAGTCCAA